CGACAGTTGAGCCCTCGACAGTTGAGCCCCGACAGTTGAGCCCCGACAAATGAGCCCTCGACAGATGAGCCCACCGACAGTTGAGCCTACCGACAGTTGAGCTCCCGACAAATGAGCCCCCGACAAATGAGCCTCATAGAAGAAACAAATTAAAGAAATAGAAAAATTTATTTTATATTAATATCAAAAATTAAAGATAGCTCTTGCTCTTTTGAAGTAAATATCTCTTGGTATGTCTTAAAATGATGAAGCTAGTATCTGTAATTTTTCATCCATAAGTTCATATGTGATCGTTTTTGGGTGGGTGTGAGTGTGGGGTGGGGTGTGGGTGTGGGTGTGGGGTGGGGTGTGGGTGTGGGTGTGGGTGTGGGTGTGGGTGTGGGGTGGGGTGTGGGTGTGGGTATGGGTGTGGGGTGAGGTGTGGGTGCGGGGTGGAGTGTGGGTGTGTAGGTGGGGATGTGGGTGTTGGTACTCTTGTCAATTACACCTACACTCACACCCACGCCCACACACACACCCACAGCCACACCCACACACGCCCACCCACACCCACACACATCCACACCCATGCACACCCACGCACATCCATACACACCCACACCCACCCACCCACACCTACACCCACACCCACCCTCCCACACCCACACCCACACCCACCCTCCCACACCCACACCCACACCCACCCTCCCACACCCACACCCACACCCACCCTCCCACACCCACACCCACCCTCCCACACCCACACCCACACCCACCCTCCCACACCCACACCCACACCCTAATTTATCTAATATTGATTTTTATACTTCTCTCATCTGTTTCTCCCATGAGGCTCATTTGTCGGGGGCTCATTTGTCGGGGGCTCATTTGTCGGGAGCTCAACTGTCGGTAGGCTCAACTGTCGGTGGGCTCATCTGTCGAGGGCTCATTTGTCGGGGCTCAACTGTCGAGGGCTCAACTGTCGTGTTGCCCATCAAGTCGTATTGTGTAATTCGTAAAGCTGATTCTATAGACGTGAAATACGGACAATACTCACAGGTGGAAAACGAACAAAAAGACAAGGCTCTTCTTAAAAATAACTTGGGTGAATTACCCTACAAATATTGCCCGAAATGTCGAACGCTTATTGAAAAATATGCTGGCTGTAATGCCATGAAATGCACTCAGTGTGCTACTGCCTTTTGTTGGTGATGATCTTTGATGCATGATAACGATGCTTTGTTTCAATTGACAAACACATTCATCTGAATCGAGTATTCTGTTGTTTTTTAATTTTAGTTCACTACCATTACAGTGACAAAAATTCGCCATGTTACAATCAATGTTTTGATGGTCCCTCGAATGCGGAGTGAATATTGAGGGACCTTTTCTTTCGTAATCAAATGTTGTTTTATATCCTAACTGTTTCTTTTATATACAAGTTTGCGTGAAAAATAAATTCGTTTACTCATAACATTCTTTATGCAAATGGAATAATCGCAAAACATATGTCACAATAACAAGCCACTCTAACGCTCTTCTATAATATTCAAAGTGAGAAAACTGAATAACAGGACAATGTTTAAGTAAAAATGGATTCATTCATATATTTTCTTGTTTTTCTTCGTTGAAGGAACATAGAACATTAACAAATAAATAATTTATATTATAATAATAAAAGCTTTATGTAATGATGAATTAAATCGAAGTTTATACAATATGAATATTTCCCCCATATACGTATAACTAAACTCAAAATAAGTAATAACTGAATAAACATATATTTCTATATGCAACATAATTCGTTTGTTATGATAGAATAACTCGAACGATCTATTTTGTATAGGCGAATAAACATTTCATATAATCAAACAAACGAAAAAGGAATGAATCAAAACAAGATCCAATTTACAGTTATATTAAACTAAAGATACATTTTCTTGATTTATTTTATTCTTTCCGCTATGAACTCACTGAAGTTGCTACAAAAGATGAGTAGAATGGATAATAAATGACACAAAAATATTCCACGATAAAAAAGAATTATTATGAACAAAACATCTCTTCTGCTTACTCATGAGTAATTTTCGCATCATGGAGAAAGATCGAGTATTCAAACTTTTTTATTATCACAGAATATTAGTAAAATACTCTATGATTGAATATGTTTGCATTAATAGAGACAGTGGCTTGTATTACACATTCTTCAATAACTGAAACGCACGATGAAACTCAGTAATAAAGTATTTTAAACCAGTGTCAGAAATGTTAGGAATTAACCCTTTTATTATTTGAAAGATAAAAATATTTATAAAAAAGCTGAAAATTAATTCCATTGATCCTGTCGTATTTGATATAGATCATTTATTCGTGCTTTATCATTCATATAACGAAGCACTTTCCTTAAATATTTTTTCGAAACAACATTATTTCTAGTTAATTTCTTCTTTTGATTTATTGATGTTGATTTTTGATAATCAAACGAAGGATAATTTGAATATATCCGGTCTGAACGTGTTACATCAAGTAAAAACAATGGAATACTTCTTGATTTTTCTCTTAAAACTATATCATCATGTAAATATTCCATTCTTGTATATGATCCGGATCGTTCTGGTAAAGCTGCACATACTAACAATGTATTGATTGGACGTGGACGTGTCAAAGTATATATGGTGTTTGAATTGCAAAAAATACTTCCATCGTCGGTTTGGGTAACACGTGTACAGTAAATCGATTCTTTTGAATCTCTTTGATAAGATTTAAATGGTCTTAATAAACTATAACGATACCTACTTATCATGTCATTGATTTCTGTTCCGAAATATACCAATTGTGGAAAATATGTATAGGTTCTCAATATCTTTATAAACTGATCTTGATCAAATTCATCTACAGATGCAAGACGAATATCAATGATTTTAATACACTGTAGATGATCGAATGCAGTTTTAATTAGATGATGAGTCATTTGATAAAAAAGACTACGAAATGATGAGAAGTCGGTTAATTGTTTAACATCAAATTGTTCCTTATAGTTAATTGGTTTCATGGATTGTGAACCATTGGTTTTTTTCAATTTATTTACATTTTGTTGTTTTACTTGACGTTTGATTAATTTTTTTTCTTTCTTTGACACTGAATTTGACGCAGATGTGGAAGTTAATGTTGGTTCTTGTTCTACCACATTAAATACTCGATCACATTCGAAAATTACTGGTTCCTTTGGATAACGATCATATCGAAATGATTTCTTTTCTGCTTTTGAAGTTTGACTATGATTCATACATCTGCCTTTGACAATTGTTGGAAATGATTTCAGAGTTCGAGTTGGTATTGAACATAATGATTTTCTTATTTTTCGTTTGGTTTTTCTATTTTTCATTGATTGACGAGATTCAAATAGAGTAATTTGATCATAAATATAAAAATAATCTTCTGAATAATAATCACAATCATTGATTTCATTATCTGATGCCATTTGTATTCGATCTGACAGCATACAATTAAAACCAGATCAGTTCACTCTGATTTTACTTTTCACCTAAATTGAGTTAAATGAATAAAAAAAACGACGCTAAATATACCGAAAGAAACATTCCATACCCATGTAAATATTTTTTTGATAAAAACGCGTCTGAGTTGCATTTCGTTGCGTGTCAATCCCAGCGAAGAAACGCAAAAAAGGCGTCCCCAGTGAAACATTTGCTGCGGCTAGATGCGGTTGGAGAAAATCGCGTCTACACGCGGTTGTAAAAAACCGCGTCTAGACGCAGGAAATGTTTCACTGGAGACGCGGTTCTAAAACAAATTGCGTCTAGACGCGGTTGGAGAAAACCGCGTCTAGACGCAAGAAATGTTTCATTGGAGACGCGGTTCCAAACCAAATTGCGGTTAGACGCGATTACAAATTAAATCGCGTCTAAACGCGTTCGATTCGACATTCAAGATTTTAAAAAAATATTGCAATCCGTCTCAGGTTTGAACTGAGTCGCCATCGATATCCCCTAACGATGGTCTTTACCTCACTATAGGCGAACGGAAGGTTGAAATGTTGATTTATCTAAAACGATAGAAATGAGATTAGAACAAGTGAACTAGCAATTAAGAAGCAAGTATACGTACCATGAAGCCACATGTGACCACAATCGTTGTCGAATGAAACAGAAAGTATATATGAATCGTGACTTCATATCTATATTATGTACAAATGCATTTATCAATAGAACGTTTTCTGCCTAAATTATATCTCATTTGTTAATATTGATATTCTTGTATGAGAATAAACTTGTATAAAATAAATTGCGCATATTAAAATTTCTTTAAAATTTTCGGCAACTTTTTCTTTTGCAAATAATTTTCATTTATTTTGTCGCGTAAGACTATTATTTATAATACTAAATAGTGCCTATCTTCTAGAACTTATTATATAGCTATTATATTTTATCAAATATCATGTACTTTTTTCGTCTTTCTTTTTTATTATATAAAAAAGCGTTTACCAAAGCTTTTTTCAAATCATGTTAACATAGAAAGACTTTTTTTAATTTCTAAAATGTCATCTTCTTTGAGGTTTTTTAGCAAATTTATATACGTCATTCGAGCACTTAGTACAGAGTTTGCGAGTGTTTTTCTTATGTATACACAATGGATAAGGTAGAGACGATGTGTACGTCTAGGAAACGTAGAAAAGAGGTTTGTCTATTAGATTTTCTATTCGGGTTTGAGTATCTTCTTGTGTATCTTCCTTCCGTAACAATATAAAATGAAAACAACACACACGATTCGAAATGAATTGAACACTACGCCAACCATGACATTTAAACACTTGAGGTACAGTTATTTTATGATAAAGTATATTTTATCTTTAAAACAAAGTTCAAATTGAGGACATAATTTATAACTTAAATTTCAAAAAGAGTTTTTTGATCAAAAAGTGAAAATAAATTTTATCTTTCTTATTTTAGAGCAGACTTCTTGATCTACGGTTTGATGCAAAACTTTTTTATATTTATCCCTTATTTTGAAAACAGGCTATCGATTAGTAGAAATAGTACAGAGTAGAGAAATAGTCTCATTATACTAATGGCCACTCGTATTACTTTTTTCATACATTAAAAGATGAAGTTTCTAAAGAAATTTATTATGCTACGATAAAAACATCTTTCTCTTATATAAGTACCTAAATCTTTAAACCAAACATTTCTTTCTATTCTTGCCAAAGTCCACCAGAGTATAGGTAATAAAATTTTATGTCTTCCTTTAAATAGTTTTTGGTCAATCATGTATAGACGCACTCTCACGTAAAATCACATCCAAATGCGTCTAAACAGTATTATTACCTGCGTACAAACGCGGTTCCATAAAAAATGCGTTAAGCAATGGCTCAGATCTCCATCTGACCGCGTCTTGATGCGTTTTATCTTAAACCGCATCCAAACGCGCTTGAAAAATTTTAATAAAACGCGTTTTCATGCGGTCTCGTAAAAAATCGCGTCCAGTCGCGATTCAAAATCTCCTGCGGCCGCGTCTAGATGCTTTTTTATTTTTGGTCGCGTTCAGACGCGAATAGAAATCGATTGTAACCTCGCCCGAACGCGGTTTCATTTACAATCGCGTCTAGATGCGTTTGAACATTTTCTTCAGTTGCGTATAGACGCGACTGTAAACGAAACCGCGTTCAAACGCGGTGAAAATCGATTTTTACCGCGTCTGAACGCGTTTTCATTTGCACTCGCTTCCAGATGCATTCGAAAACTTTCTTCAGCTGCGTATAGACGCGATTGTAAATGAAAACGCGTTCAGACGCGGTGAAAATCAATTTTTAGCGCGTCTGAACGCGGTCTACAATGAAACTGCGATTACACGCGTATATTCTGCGTCTGGTGTTTACATGGGAATAACAAAAGAATATCACAAAACATGTCTTATCTTTATCTATGACA